AATTTTTTTATTTTTCGATTGTTTGTAAATAGCCCCAATCATCACCATACAAACGAGGCCAGAACCAGTTTTGTAACTATAATAGTTTTTAAGATATGTATTTACAAAATAAATTGCAAAATCCGTGAAACTGTGAAATTTTGAACTTTCCATTTTGTTTATATTCTTATCTAGCTCAGGCTAGCATTTCATTGCGCCCAATGCATAAAAAGCGAATAAATTTTCGGAGTGAATTTTTAATTACAATTATTGAGTCTGACATAATTTGGCGGGATCAACGAAAAGTTCCTAAAATTAATATAACATCCCTGCAGTACGGGGGAGCGACTACAGGACTGCTGAATCGGTAGCTACCTGATAAACACCGTCAATTACCGACCGACTACTTGCAGTGTAATTCATCGATTACTTTTACAAGGCAATGTCCTAGGCGGTAGTCACCATCGGCTCTCTCTGCACTACCGGGAGTTACTAAAGTAGTCTCGCTTGCGTGATTTATGCGCGCCCTCTGTCGTAGTTTTTCGCTATTCTACTTACGACTGGTTCGACTCTGCACTACCATGTGCACTACCACGGGTTAATAGAGTAGCTACTTACCTAGGAGTCGGTGCAGTACCGGTTCAAAAGTAGCGATTGACTCCAGCAGTACTGGAGGGATGTGTCAGCATACCTCTCTGCATACATACATGTATGTGTCGCATGATTTTGGTTCCTTTCGATTTGCAGCAAATTAGATTCAGTCATTTCATAATGCTTGGACGTAAATAAATAAATTTTTTCAAACAGTGAATTTCATGTTAAAAAAAGATAGTAATTCTCATCGTGCAGAATTAAAAAAAAAATGCAGGTGAGTAGAAAATTCAGTTCTCTATTACATAAATAGTGTAGAAATATACCGCAACGAATTATTTCATCAATTTTATATAAAAACATTGTTAATTATCTAAACAATTCCAAGTTTCAAACTTTGTACAATAATTGGAAAAATTCAACGCGCTTTCATCAAAATTAAAAAAAAAGAACATTTGGATTATGCAGTTTTATACCACATTAATGATATGCAAATTTGATGTGGTTAAGAATTTGCGTAAAGTTTTAATAATTAAACATTAATCTTTAAAGTTTCGCTGGAATGTCCTCACCAGTAACAGGTAAATAAGATATAAAAAAAGGCATTTGAGGTTTAATCTCATTCTTTATGCACAGGACCCACTCTTCCACGCATTTGCACTTCACTATTCTGCAACTGTCTTCTTCACTAGAATTAACGATTTCATTGAATCCTATAATTTCTTTTGTCATATGCATATATGTACATTAGAGTGGTCCAAAATAATAAAGTCGGAATTTTAATGCTGCCACCCCCTAGGATTGTTCTGAAACGAAAATAAATATACCCCTATTTTTTATTTTGAAAAAAAAATTTTGAAAAAAAAATAGGGGTATATTTTTTTTTTGCTATAGAACAATCCTAGGGGCTGGCGGCATTAAAAATTGCGACCTTATTTTTTTTACATACATTTTTGGACCACTTTAATGTACATATATACATTCATTTGTACATATTTCCAAATAGTTTTTGCCGTGAAATCCAGAAAAGTTGGCGTCTAAAAATAATGTGGCAAAAATCAACAAACACTTTGACTTCTTCTACATATGTACATACATACATACATACATATATGACCATTAGTGTGCATCCATATAAAAAAATCGGACTGATATGAAAATAGCTCCCAGAAATGGAGTTTAAAAATCGAGCGAAAATTTTTAAGCTTGAAAAGTCTGCATATTTTTATTATTTTAACAACGGAATACCTACTGAGATTTTTTGGAGGCAAGTTCAAATCGGACCTCCTCACGTAAATCTTGCTATTTTTGCGAAATATTTTAGTGGACGCCTTAAAATATAATAAATAGTGTAATTCCGGTGAAAAATCCGCAACTTTTTTTTGGTGGGGCACTCTAATGTATGTATACCTCATAATAATATAATTTCCTTTAAATCGCCGTTTACGTATAAACATGTGCATTGTAATTTTATGCCACCAAAATCACACCTTTTCTAAATACGTAATACGTAAGTATATTCATATAAAATATGTGTGTGGGCCCAGGGGCACCTGATATATTTACCCATATCGATGCGTACATAAGTTTAAATGAACTTGTGCAGTTGGGCATTGTCTTAACACAGTATATATGTATGTATGCGTGTGTAAACAAATCAAAACATTATTAATTACGCAAATAGAGCGCATGAGAAATATCATCAAAATATTCAATGTACTCATCTTTGCTTCGAATGCACTACATATGTATTTACATACATGTGTATGTACGTACTAAATTGGTGTGATTGTGAGCCTATAAAATAATTTTTGGAAATTTTTATGGACCCCGAAAGCAGTGCGTGTATCCATTTACTTACACAGGTAGTATGGGTATGGATGTACTGGTAAACAAATATCTAGCTGAGTGTTACTGTTCAATACTGCTCTATTTATACTAAATATACCTGCATACATATGTATCTACACATAGTACATCACACGCTTAGAAAAAAAGTCTTAAACGAATTGCAATGAAAATCACACTGTATTGGTTAAAATCGAAAAATTTACGCTTTCTGAGAATTCTATTTATTTGAAGTGGATTTTCTCCAGCAGATGATTATATGTGTATTCTACCTGTTTCTGCGATCTCCTTTACGTTTGATTTGTGTTTATATTTTGTTTACACAAATCGACTTGTTTCCCGAGCAAACAAACAAATCTGGAAGTATGTATGTATGTAGAAATATATCTGTATAAAATAAGTGAATGCATACTTATTAACTTGCAAAATACAAAGGGAAAACTCATATTTTGTTCGTATTCGTTGCCACGTTTTTTCACATACAAATATAGCCACTTGATATTCCACTCAGAGGTTTGCGATATGAGGATTTTTTTCCGAACTCTCGGCTAAACTAATCAAATGATGGAAAAACCGACAGATAGCTAAGCAAAAAGAAAATTCTTACCTAGGTTAGTTAGTAAATTTAGTAAAAAAAAAAACAAAACAAAGGTCACATTATCCGGGATAGAGGAATTTATAATTCCATCTCCATGGTCAGGCATGTGGATAACCAAAGTGCGTGGTACTTTTAAGGCCGACCTACCGCTCCCCAGCACTTACTGCGGTCTGAGTTTAGACCCTCGGTAATAGAAAGTCTCGGAGAAGACCAACAAAACAAAAAAAAACAATGCTTGACGAGCTTGGTTGTGATCAACCTAATTTGTTAGGACCCTGATGACCGCTTGGATGTCTGAAAAGATATCTATAAAAGCGCCTTTCTGCCACATGTCGTGTTTGTATCAGTGCCACGGTCTGAAAGAATGTGGGCTATCTGCTCATTGCTTTTGCATCTAAATTTAATCATCCGCATCTGCTCTGTCTTCTATGTGCGATCAAGGTGATGGCACCTATTTACCCAGATCCTTCGGTCTGACATTAGGATATGGAATACTCTGACGAAGCGGAAAATTCCCATACGTACAGTGGTTTAAATAAGTGTTTTTTTTAATATTTACATCCTTTTTAAAATTTAAATTTTTGGATTTCTTTTTTATTAAAATAATTAGAGTATAGGTTATAAATTATTATTCTCTAGTGCATTTGGGATTTGTAAACAGAGGTGAAAATATAACCACATAACCAGATAACCAGGCAGGTGTGAATACCCTAATTATTCGCGCTTTAACCAAATCAAAGTTTCAGACTTCATAAAAAATTGAAAAAATTTGCATCAAAGTCTCGAATCTTTTAAACTGGTGTCTGCGGTTTTATAGCACACAAAGTTTTAGTGTGTAATAAAGTACAAGTTTCAAACGGTTAAATAATCCCGTTGATTTTTAAGTTTTTCTTTTTTTTACTGACGGATTTTACGGTTTTTTTTTTTATATAACAAGAAACTGGTTTTGATTTTTTTTTTTAATTTTTTGCAACGAGCATTTCATTACATAAAAAATGCATGTCTACATGGAATTAAGTGCAAAAATCTATCACCAAAAAAAAAAAAGATATGTATTAATAATCAACGCGATTTTTATGCACTAAAATTTTATGGGCTATAAGTTGTAAAGTGTACTAAAAATTCAGGTTAATCAGTTCGAAATTCATACGAAAATTTATTGGATGTTTCTAAATTCTGTATAAAATTTGAAACTATGATTTATATAATATTGATTAAAGCATGACAATATTTCAATAAAAGCATATCATAAACATTTTTAACTAGAATAACTATGTATGTGAAAATTAACAAAAAAAAAAAAAATATATGTGAACACCTATTTTCCTGTGGCTTGTTCGGCTCGAATGCACAAGCGATATTAAGTTAGAGCTTAGACTCCTGCTTATACCCAAGTTAAACTAATAGCTCTGTATTATACATAAATATGACGGATACCTTCGTCTAAGTGCATACCAAAATACAAATAAACATACCAGGGATCACTGAAACTAATTTATTGATGAAATACTTGTTTTTGAATTCCATCAGGTCCTTACTGAGTAATTGACCAACTTTTCCCCAAAGTAAAACTCCGAAAGAAAATGGGTTAGGGCCTTTCTATATTAAGATATGTATGATATGTATTGCTCAAGTCAAAGTGAAATTCATAAACATCCTTAAGAATTAAGTATTACGGAAACTCTCTCTTGCCATAAAAGCTTCTCTTTTATCATACAATTTTAATGTTCTCCGAGTGTCATGCGGCATTTAAAACTTACCTATGAGCTTTAAAGCACAGCAGTAAAAAAGCTGAAACTCTTTAGCTTTTCAGTGGGCTTCACTTTTTTTAAATTTGATAATTTTATTAGGTATGCTTTGCAGATTTTAAGTTAGTTTAAGTTTTAAGCAGTTAATTAGAACTATTTTAATATTTTCAAGATTTGAATATGCTATTGAAAGTCAAATGTCTCTAGTACTTAGAATACGAATATACATACATATGTAAATTTGAGAAAAGAAATTTAGCTATATTTTTGATTTTTAAATTTTAAAACTTCATCAGAAATAACACTATTTATGTGTGATTATTGGTCGGGTTTGGTGAGAGCCCACCTTTGCGTGGCGACGGTGTAGCTGGCTTAAGTGGTGACTTTTTCAAATTAACAAAGCTTAGCTCATTGTCTGGTGATGGTGAAGATGTTGCGCCCGAATTGCGTCTCGACGAAGTCGGTCGTACATTTGTGTCTAAATGACGAAAGCTGCGAAACGAGATAGAATAACATGGACAGTCAGTCAGTCAGTCGTGAAATTGTGACTTCTCTGAATCTTTTTCGGAATTCTGTCTTCGATATTTACTGGTAACGGTACTTAGTACAATTACTAACATAAATATGCAATAAAGCTTTATACCTGAATTCCGAAAAAAAACTCGTATAGAAGTAAAGTGTGATCAATTTTATGAATGATTGTACTTTCATATGTACATATGTGTGTGTATGTGAATTTTTGTAAATTTTTTTTTGCAATGAAAAAGTGCTCACCGCAACGAAACATTACTTTTTTGTCCCCCTTCATCATTGTTGTTGTTACTATTGAAGAGGAATGCCAATGGCCAGGAAATCCACGAGTTGCGTTCTGTCGATGTTTGTGTTCTGATAGTAGGATTTGTGCTATGACCCACCACTGGTGATGCAACATCCGCTGACAAATTTGGTGTGCCAGCCTTATTGATGGCCGGATTGTAAATTTTAGGATCACTGACCATGCGTACGAAAAACGAGCGCTTCCTCGCCAACGTATCCTCCTTCTTGCGATTGATGATCTCTGATAGTTCGTCGTGCTGTTCCTTTTCAAGCAATTCATTAGCAAAATCGACTATGGTCTCCCAGGCGTAATCGATATCTTCTTCGGTGGCATTTTGTGCCACTGCACAGAATCGTATGATATATTTATCGTTAACGCTAGCAGGTACCATATGCAATTTGCCGGATTCATTAATGTTACTTAGGAGTTTCTCATTTAATTTGTCGTTGCCTTTCAAGCGAAAGCAAACCAACCCAAGCTAAAAGCAGAGCATGTTCAAGTAAAAAAGAATCAAAGGAAATACGTAAATACATATTTATAATAGGAAATATGGCTATAAATCACAGGTATGTGGATATATAAAATGCAAAAGGTATGGTGGGTAGTTCAAGAGCCATCTGCATTTGGGATGATCTAACTTTGTTCGTTATGAATCATTGCATTAAGTGTTCCCTAAAACTGCGCCTAAACAAATGCCAGCACCATAAAAAAATCAAAGAAGATTCTTTCTAAATGAAGATTATTTATTTCTGTATTTATTTATTTTATTTTTTGCATCAAATGAGTCATGTGCGAAGTGTTTATATGGAATATTGTTAAATGTTCTTAACAAGTGCGGAGTATTGCATTAGGGTTATCCATATGAGCGATAATTTGCAATTGAGATAATTTTTAAATCTTATTTTCTGAAATTCAGAACATTTTAAATATATATATGTACTTTAGGGTGCCTCACCAAAATAGTTCGGAGTTTCGCCGGAATCAATAAATATGTATATTATATTTTAAGGCTTCTGTCAAAATGGACCGATTTGAAAATATTTCCAAAAAAAGGAATCGATTAAGCGGTGTCTGTCCGATGTTGAGATATCCTATGGAAACATGGTGTGTGTACTTCTTTTCAGCGTAGGACGGATGGTATTGAAAATGGGCAAAATCGGACGATAACGACGCCTGCCTCTCATATAACGGTAGTTTTCAGAAATACAAACACTGCGATATTTTAGTTACTACTGAAGCTGATTCACTCAAAATTGATATTTACAATAATTTTTAGGCGGAAAATAAGAATATTATAAATTTTTGGGAAATGGGCGACGCTAATTTGGTACAAAAGTGATACTAACAACATTATTATGGAATTTTGCAAAATGGGCGTGATGCCGCCCACATAACGTTCTATCGAAAATGTTTGAAATATACGTAAAACCACCCCTGTTTACCACGTGGTGGTAATTTTCGGAAAGGTGAAAGACTGTATTGTATACATGCGCCGGGTATTGAATGTTCGGCTCCGCCCGAAACTTAGACTTTTTTGCTTTGTTTTTTAGTAAAATACGTGTTTAAAAATAATTTTTGCAATAAAGTTTAAAAGGCCTACATAAAAATGTTAAAAAATTTTATCAACGGTATCAAAATAATAAGATTTTTTGAGGTATTTTCCAATCGATCCAGCTCACGCAAGTGCTAATATTTTCCCGAAATACGCTGAAGGAAGTCTTAATATATAACTTTATTTATTCTAATTAATAACAACTGATTAAAGTTATAAATTACTTGCTGCCAGGGTTATCTCCTAAAAAATGTAATTAGTTTTAAAATTCCGATGAAAAAACAGTACCGACGTCTTTTTTTTTGTAGAGTGATGCACTCTAATGTCCACACATATTGTATGTATGAACTATTTTCAGCAATATTAAAGGGGTTTTATTAAAAAAAAATTTATTTTTGGCTTCCTTTTTTCCGTATACATTTTGGATTCACAGTATGCTTTTATTGTCTAGCATTATATCTTGCCCTAGAAATAGAGTCTTTGTTTTAAGTTCTCTGGTGAGTTGAAAGAAAATAAATTCTGCCAGGTTAGGTTAGATTGCAGTGGGCGATCTGCGCTAGAGTGAGACGCTCTCTGCGCGGTGATATCGATTCAGCGGTACCCTTTGTCGCCAACCCATCATCCATTCCGAATATCACCGTGGTCCCTTGTAAGACAAATTGGAAAATATTCCAGTCTCGAAGCCCAAACTTGAGTTGCATTGCCAAAACAAAGGATGTGGGCCCGACAATCTTCTAAAAAAAAACCCTCAGGGCTCGGAACCGACGTTTAGAAAAAAAAAAATATACATGACTGTCTTTTTAGCTTCCCCTTGGATCCGTAAATACAACAAAACATCAAGAGTCGCTCCTGGTGTTATGGCTCCCATAATGCCTATATACACAATTCTTTACAATTCGTTTAAGATACAAACCATGGTATTGACCATGGTACTACACCAACATACTGCAGAAGAAACGTGGCAATCGGTCTGCTTAAAGCTGTGGATACATAATTTACCATAGCCGGCCTCAGAATCCAAGTTTTTAGTGCTCGATTACTTTCAGCTCACAATCAGCTACCTATCTACGGTTCTCCTTACTTTGTTGAGGAAACGGAACTAAGGATTAGAAGTTAAGACCTTTCAACTTTCCTTTTTGCGTAAGCAAAACTCGCTTTTTCTTGCTGGGACTGACAGCAAGACATATGTATATGTAAAAGATTGAGTTAATCTAAATGTCGATGGTCTTCTGCAATAACGACACAATTCAGTCGTGTTAATTCATTCGTCTTTCTCCAAAATCACGAAAGGATGTTTGGCTTTCATATGGCGATTCAAATCTCCATGAGAGCCACCAAAAATGCTTATGAAAATTCGGCAATGCCTGCATTTCATTTTCTTTTCATAAATTTTGCCTTCGAAATGCGACCAAATTGCATTTCGCTTTAGAATCTGAAAGCGAAAGTCTTTTGTTAAATGACAAATACCAAAAACGCAACTCAATTATTTACTCTTTTACACCAATTGCACTAAACGATTTAAAACATTGGAAATTCAATGAAATAAAATGTCCAATTCCAATCATTTGTTTCTTTATGCTCTTACAATGAAGAACGAGATGCCATATGTGTTAAAATTACATTTGCATTTTTACTGGAGTGTTGCCAAAGAAAATTTTAATTCGCTTTAATGAACAAACTAATGAACTAGCTCAATTAAAAGAGCTGGCTCTTTCGCTCTTTAGTTCAATAGACATCCCTGAGCGGCCTGCCTGGCGCTGGCGCAGAAACCTCATCCATATAATTTTGGATGTGCTCCAGGTTTAGTTTTCCCTTAATAGGGTCATAGTAAAATAATAAATAAGTGTACCAATTAACTGACGTCTTCGTATTTGAAAGCAAATTTTGATTTTGTTATTATCTTTTCTTCCATTTCTGGTATTCGCCTTTTTCAATTCTGACCCCTGGTTTTGTTGCATACCTCTGTCCCATTTGGGCTTAGATCCTCAACCTTCCGGACTGAAAAAAACATCAGTACTGCAACGCTGTGAGTGCTTTTGCACAATCGGCAAGAATTTATTTTCGTTAATTTTTTATTCAAATCAAAAAAATACATACATAACCCAAAAGGGTTAAAGTGAAAGTCAAATCAAAGAAAATTTTGGGATAATAAATTACCAAATAAGAGTACCGAAATAGAATATCATTGCTATCTGGCACACTTTATATTATTTCACTATGAATAGGAATGCACTACCAAACACCACAAGAGAGGCGAGAGTACACTGCCCTGAGGCATTCTCTTCCAACCTCTGTCCCGGTACATGATCCATAGTCTACCTTCCGAACAGCCAATAATTCTCAATGCTTTTGAATAGTCACACCGTTGGCGAGGATTTTTTTTGTAATATTCAGTAGTTGTACTACTACTTTTATGAGCGCAACTGTACGTTGGTTTGTGTTAGACGCAAAAAATACAGCAAAAAAGCAATGGTATTATTCGAATCTCACATAATTATTTTGTTTAACAAGTACTTGTCAGCTCGTGTCACTGTCCTCTGCGTATTACCCACCAACAAACAGCACGTCCAACATTCAATGCTCACTTGCGTCAAGTGGCCAGCGCTACTTTATTGCCTTCATATTTTATCAATTTAAATCAACACCGAATTATTATTTATTTTTTTTCATTGCGCCGAAGTGAAGTTTTTTGTGCAATATATGGACATGTCATTATGTGCGTAGATATGTATGTATATGTTTACATATATAATAGATGAAATCGGCCAAATAGTCAGGCAGTAGGTTAGGCAGTCAGTCAGTCAATCAGTTTAAGTAATAACAAGCCAATCGATCAGTCGAAACAATCCATCAAAAAGTGTTTGCGCATACAATGTTAATTGAATACAAAAAGGTAGTCAGAGAAGTGAATGCAACTTTAATTTTAAAATAGAAAACAGCCGAAATAATTTAAAAATAAAACACTTCAATCGCATTGCGGGGATGTTGCTGGACCAAATGCACGTACACATGTACGTCAGCCAGACATGAAGGCGGGTTTGGTTTATATCTCTATATATACTTTTTGGGTTGTGTTGTTCAATCCCTGCAGAAAATCGAGAAATAGTTCCCCTAGGATTCAAGTATTCTAAAGTTTACGAAAACAGTTGAGGCGATAAGGTAATGCAATAATTCGCCGATTGGTAGGAATAGTCCGAAAACGGAAATAAATGAGCTTCCTATCGACTTTTTTGATTTTGAAAGTTATATTTTGAAAGTGAATGTTGAATATTCGTGTACATAGGTTAATCAGAAAGCAGTTAGTCGACGCAGCACTGGTTCGTTGGTGGTAAAGGTGTACAGAATAGTAGAGCTAATAGAGTAATTGGATTCAGTTCTTTTTCCTACAGGTATGTTTTTAAACGTGCCGAACCAATGTATGAATGAGGACTCAAACATGCAATATTATCAAGATGTATGTACATGTGCCGGTACATATGTAAAAAACTGCCAAATGTGCATACACTCGTCTACCTTAATGGATATTTCAACGATTGAATCGCTTAAGAAAAAGTTTTACCACTCACGCAAAACAGCAAGAAATCTTAAACGAATAAGCACGTTCAAATTAAGACGGATCAATTGTTATGCGAAAAAAATTAAATATTCACTTTAAAAGTTCCAACCAAAGTGGAATTCAACCCAAACGCATAAAAACATATCGTTTCTTGTATGATAAATTTAATCGTTTTACAACTGAGTATATGGTCACCTGAAATGCAAAAAGACGTAACAAACAACATCGTTGTAATGCAAAAAGTCATAATTAATAAAAAATTCAAAATTCACTTTTTGATTTATAAAAAAAAAATTTGAAAAAAAAAATTTAAATATTAGTCACGACTTTTTCCATTTCTTCATTTACGATGTTGTTACGTCTTTTTGCATTTAGGTGACGATATGTAAAAGTCACCCCTCCTAATGTTAACAAATGGGTGTTGTCGGTATTGTAAAAAGTTTTTGCCGGGTTTTCCTTGTGCAACTTTTTTTACTTTGTTTTTTTTTTTCATTCAACGCACATGCATATTTCAATCGTTTGAACTCCGCGTTTAAGATATTTCTATTATTATATTATTTTTTTCTTCACTTGAACTTTTATTATTTTTATTTTGTAAATACCCCAATGGTTTCATCCGTTTTCAATTGTCAATTGTTTTTGTTTTGTTTTGATTTGTAGGGAATTGTGATTTGCTTTGTTTTGTTTTGTTTTTGTTCGTCACTCACCTTGACTTGATTACAAATCTCAAAGCGTTTGTCTTTCAGCACATGTTGTTCGAAACGTTTGGCCAATTCGATGTGACGTCGTATATAATTCTGCAATCCCGAAATTCCATATGAACGCAAAACAAACCTATTGAAAATATAAATAAATTATAAAAAAAGATTTTATAAAAAAAAACATAACTATTATATATGTACTAAATATGTATGTATGTGTAGTCATGAGCTAAATTCCAAAGCTTAATTCTGAGTTTTCTTCTATGCATTTCATAATATATTTGGATTCAAAAATGTATGCAATAAATTAAAACTTTGCATCCATTTCGATAGTTTTGGAAAACTGCTCGTTGTTACTCGATAATTTTATCAACTGGGAACGTCCTTTTCAGCTTACTTTTGTTAGTCTTATCAGCAGCTGATTGGTGGTTTTTTCCTATACAAAAAATAAATTCTAATAAAAAATGATTTTTACTCAATCATATCGCTCATTTACTTCAGAAACATGGTAAAATAATTATTGTCTATTAATATTTTCTACTTAGTTTGCACTTGTAATTTAGGTATATATATGCTTAGCGTTCACAGAGGTTTTGCAAAAAAAAAAAAAAAAAAAATCGATCGATTTGCAGAAGACCCTCGAAGACTGTTGTTTAAAAACAATAAAAAATCAAGATTTTGGTGAATAGACGAAGTCGCATTTTAAAATTTGTATGATATTAATGTAATTAACAAATTTTTATTTTTGCTCTTCAATAACTTTATAATAAACTTCATGTAATTTCAATTCCTCTCCTCTGTAGGGCTCCGTACAGCTCAGTTGTTACAATAAAAAGAAAAAAATTAATGAGGAAAATTGTTATAAATTTTGTAATAAATAACTTATATTTTAACATTTCTAATATAATATACATTACAAATAATTGGAAAAAACATTTCGTTATCAATTTTCGACTACTAATGGCAGACATAATAATAATAGATCTGCGCTTACACATTTGCTAGTGTCACACGAAGGAGAGGGACCGACTCCGAACGGAGGTTTGCTATTGCCTGCCGAGGGGTGACCGCTGTTGAGAAAAAACAGTTTTTCTACTTTTTTTTTGCAATGGATGCTTTGTTTGACCAGGGAAAGCGGACACTGCTTACCAGTACACCAAAGCTTAATCTTGTTTCATTTCAAAAATCTGCTAAAAATTAGAGGAGTCTCTGCATTGACCTTCATTAAAAAACCAGGACAATTTGTCTAAATTAGGACAAATTCTAGAAAACCAGAACGTCTGGCAGCCCTAAGCTAGCCACAGCAGGTCGACTGATTTGCATATCTACGCTGTACTATTTTGCTCTCTCTGTTTGCTAAGACAGAAATAATAACGGAATATGTAGAAGCTGTAGAAAGCTAAGAAGATATACATATGTAGAATCCATTTAGCATCTCTTATGCATGGGCCCCGCACTTCGGAGAAAGCGCCTCCAATAGAGGGTACAGAAGGAACTGCGGATGTTTTAAAGACAAATGGGGATAGGCAAAGGGAAACCCTATCCTGGACGTCATATTGGACTCATGCGACTAATCTAATCTTACCCAAAAAAGAAAGTATAGCACACAAGTTTTGAATATCCCAACAATTAAGCGGATGTACCTACAAATGATTTTTTAAAGGAAATTAGTTAAATGTCGATGCATTTTTCCATGAGCTCTTGCATACGGTGTATGATAATCATCATACGCTCATAGGCTCAGCAATTTCTCGTAATAATTTCTGCTTTCTTCCGCTGTCGTGCAGATATTAATTGTCATCAATGTACATATCGATGGCTGAGTGGAAGATCGACCTATCTCGGCTGCCAGTTCGAAAACGCTCTATCTCAAAAAACTTTTCAAGAACGCCCTACTTCAGAATTTTATTGAAAAACACCCTATCTCAAAATTCGGTTCAAAAACGCCCTATCTCACTTCAAAATGTATTGAAAATATGCTGATATAGGGCATTTTTGAATCGGCAGCTGAGATAGGGCGTTTTTGAAACGAATTCTGAAATAGGGCGTTCTTGAAAAGTTTTTTGAGATAGAGCGTTTTCGAACTGGCTGCCGAGATAGGTCGATCTTCTACTCAGCCATCGATATGTAGTTATAAATGTATGTATGTATGTGCTATTACGTAATTTTCAGTAAAGTACATATTTACATATAAAAAACTGAAAAAACACTATTTTTTTTTGTCGAAAGTCCCGGTCGAAATTTAATAAATAATTACTGCTTTGCACACACATATGTATACATCTATGCCTTTATTAAGCATTTGCCGAATCACAAAAACCTTAACAACTCTTTATACATATTGCCATACATACCACAATTTCAATGAACGAAAACGCCGACTGAGTGGAACTCCCCAATGACGGTAGTCAATTGCTGCATCATCATAGCAATGCTTAAGATACAATGGATCCACGACAAGTGCTGATGTAAGGCGGATTCGATCGCGCACCCAAAATGTTGAACAGTCGAAATTTGTTAATAGCCATTTATTGGGATTCGTATTGAATGAATCAGCATATTCGATGCCCTGTCAACGACGCCAAAGATGGCATTAGTTTTTGTATGGTTGAAAAAAGAAAAGCAAAAAGCGTGACCATTAACAATTTACGCCAGTATGGTATGCACCTTGGTTGCTTAAAACACAATTCTTGGAAATTTGCTTTGTCTAAAATTTATGGTACATATTTATTTCCGCACTCACTCACCTTTAGTAGCGGCTTCAATTCGGGACAGATGAAAGAGTTGCCGGCATAGGCAGCGTCCACGTGCAACCAAATACCTGGAAACTTTTGTATTTCCTTGCCAATCTCCTCCAAGTTGTCAAAAGAGCACGAGCCGGTAGTGCCCAGTGTAGTGGAAACGAAGAATGGCACCAAACCTTGTTTTTCATCCTCCTCCATGGCCTGTTGGTGGTAGCAAAAAATATAAATGAATTAAAAAAAGTCCATATTGCAGTAATCTTAAATTAAGTTTAAGGCACTGGAAGGCCCACCTCACTCAATGTGCGGCCGCGCAAGCTGGCATTTTCATCCGGCTCTAAAATACGCAATTTCACGAAGCATATCATTGCAGCCTTCTCAACGCAACTATGCGCCTCCTTCGAGCAGTAGGCAATCAATTTACAGAGTAGGTGACTCTCCTCGCTGAAAGGATGTTGTGCCATTAGACGCTTGAGCGCCTGAGCGCGTGCCGCCAACATGCTGACCAATACGCATTCGGAAGCGGAAGTCTGTATGCAAGAAGGGTGGGCAATTGAAATTTGCAAATCAAATTAAAATATTTGCAACTGTAGCTGCATAATAACTTGTTTTACTTTTACTATCGTTTTTCACCTGTATAACGCCGCCACCGGTGCTACCCTCCTTTAACGCTAGAAAGTGATCTGGTAATCCGATGGCTTTGCCTTGAAAAATATTTAATTTCAAAAAAACATAAGAAAGAAATAAGCACACAACTAACATTTGGTGGGCTTTCTTTATATGAATATGTATGGTTTACATCACCGGTCGTAACATACCCAACCAATCCAATACAATAGTCTCGAGCTCCGTACATGCCGGACTTGCTGCCCACGAGAAGCCAATACAACCGATGCCATCGCCCAGCATATCACCCAAAATCGATTCATAAGCATTGCCCGCCGGAAAGTAAGCATGAAATCGCGGATGCTGCCAGTGTGTGACACCAGGCATTATTTTATCTTCAACATCTTTCATTATCTTATTCCAATCCTCGGGCTCGTATGGCGCCTCAGCTGTTTGCAAGCGCGTGTGTTGTGTGCAAAGTAAATTAACATTTAATTATGTAAAAAAAAATGTAAGTATTTGTACATCGAGATAGATATACATACATATGTACTTCTATAAGCCTATAACATTTTATGAACATACATACATACATTCTGTGCATGGTTGCATTTTTTACATACTTATGCTATAAAATATGTATAGCTGAGGCTGAGTAAAAAAAAACACACAAATCAATTAATAATCGTTTTCAAGAGAGCTTCTTTCTACATACATACAAAATTTCGCACTGGTGTAAATACATATACTGTCAGAAAAAACTATTGGCCCAGAGAATTTTTCCGCTAATGTTTTATAAAAATATTGAATATAGTTGTTACTACAATAAAAAACAGATTTGTAGTCCATTAAATTTTAGTTTTTTGCAGTATTTTTATAAAAAAATTAGCGGAAAAAAATAAAATAAAAAATGGTACCTACATTGCAAAAAAAATTTATTTGCCAATACTTTTTCCCAGCACTGTATGTATGTACATCTGTATACCAGCAGTTCTTAAGTTTTCCGAATGTACATTCCAAATTAAATTGAGACGTGTTGGTATTAAAAAAAAAGAAAAATTGGACGTGAATGAGGTTTTTTTTGCACAGAAATAAAAATAGTGGGAAAATACCTTTTTTTCAAAGAAGTTCTTTAAGAAACAATTTTTGTTCATTAAAAACTCCATTTTGGAAGTATTTTCCGAAATATTTTGGTGGACGTCTTCAAATGTAATAAATTTTGTAATCACGGCGGAAAACCGCGACTTTTTTTTGGTGAAGCAGTCTAATGTACATATCTGTGTTCGTATGGAAAAGTAGCTTATGTCGAAAGGCCGGCTTTAGTATAATGCGGCATTCCCTTTATTTTTTAAACGACAAGGAATTTTTTGATGAGACTTAAAAAGAATATTGACTTGTTAGTATCGGAACTATTTCTTGCACGTTTATTTGCTAAAACGGCTTAGCGCCCGTAAGTCATTCGCAATCGTATGCTGCGATTTATACTAAAGCCAGCCTTTCGACATAAGCTACTTTTCCATACGAACACAGATATTTTAGTTTTCAACAGACTGAAATGTGAAACGCTTTTTTGAAAGTCGAGAAAAATTCACAGGAACACTTTTCAACAAAGAGGAGACATACGCGAGCAATAGGACATTTCCTGCTCATTGCATACCTTTGCTAAAGAAGTAATCGTGCGACAAGGAACGTCATGTTCCAGCGGAGGAAAGAATGCCGTCTACAAGGTTATACTGCGATCAAAAGCTACGTGAGGAAGTTAAAAGAGCAAACGAAGTCTTTTTTACAGTACTTAAAAGACAAAAGGGAAAAATATGCAAGTGAAAAAATGAGGTGTTTGACAACTAGAAAAATACTGGGAAACTCTATCGGAAAATCAGACTCTACCCGGATTCAAAAGTGAAGCGGACAACGTCCGTCAGACATTAATAACAAACTTTCCACCGGCACATTTATATGACAAATTCTTGGCTAAATAGTTGTAATTTTGCCAGGTTAAATACGCTGCTGAAAAATCTTCCGAATAATTTACGGAAACTAAACTTATACCATTCCTTTATTCGGTCTACATAATAAACTTTCCGTAAGAATTTCAGAGAGAAACATATGAGGTGAAGGTGCCACATACATACCTAGGCCTAGGATCGACATCAATCTACACAGATGTTTCTTAGCTAAACAGCAGGGCAGCTTCACTCCAGTGAACTCTCTCTAAATCCCACTTTTTCAGGCAGAACTAACCGCTCTAAAGGAGTAGTCCCCATTCTCGCAGCAAGACTGCAGAGTTCATAGGGACTATCAAACAGGTGACATCGAAACGTTTTTTAAATGTTGTATGGGTTCTAGAACATACGGGCATCCCTGTTAACTGCATGGCTGACGAGTTGGCAGAAAAAGGGTGAGAAATATCCATGGTGAATACTGCCAAGGAAATGGGTATACCTCGTAGCCTCCTGCAAACAAAATAAAAAAGTTGAGTCAACACTATCTAAAGCTATCATACAGATCGACCGTTCCTCCTCTCTAAGATTAGTACTTTAGTGTTATAACAGCACATTGCCTTATGGGCACACATGGTGAGCAGCTCTACAGAGTGGTAAACGCATTGAAATGACCACTCGATAATGCGTAGTTATTTCGCGGCTAAAGACCAACAAATTTACTGGAGTTGACGCCATCTGAAGTGTCCATATATCGCGGGATCAGCCTTCTGAAATGTAGCCAGTTCGCTTGGTTAGTGCTCTTTTGAACTTCCCTCGTAGTCAACCAACATCTGTTAATACGTATACTAATATCAAATTTTGAGCAAGTAACATCATTTAGTTTATGTTGGCCAGCTATTGAAAGCAGGCAATCTCGTAAATTTTGTCGAAAATTGTTCAACAACAAAAGGGCAGTCGTATGATTACTTCAAAGAGGTATTTCGTTACCTTAATTCACCAAGGCCATAACCAACACTTTTTTTTCGAAACTGCGTTTTTCACAGATTTTCGTTGGATGCATTTAAATACACCTTCAGTAAAAATTTTAAAGTGTTAGCACCAAAAACAACAGAGTTACATGCCCACTTATTTTTGATACTATTTTGATAATGTTTTTTGCTTCTCCTGTAAAATAACAAAAATTCTTGGTTAGGGCCTTTGTCAATTAAGGTGACGATTTGGTGAATTAGGCTACGAATTGCCATGGTATTCCATATATATTCCAGGTATAAGCTATGACTATTTTCTGTTTCCAAAACTGAATCAGTTTGCCGAAAGGTAAAATATTTGAGTCGAGTGAAAAGATCTTCACTGAGACATGCGCTTATTTTAAGGACCTTGGAGGATAAAAGGAAATTAAGGAAAAAATACTGATTGTAATTTAGAGAATGGAATTTTTACCCGACAGATCAACTATTAACAACACTCGCGAAATATAAGAAACGAGCCGTAAAATAACAATCGACACACACCTTCTCTTTATCGACTTTAACGATTAAGATAACGAGCTATCAATTTGATATCGCCGCGACAATAATACGTCTGTTGACTAGAAATAGCTACTACATCAGGTTGCAGACAGTGCAAAGCGTTCCATCTTACAAGACTTTTTCAAAAAGTTCTTTTTGGTAATACAACTTCTTTGAATAGCAACGTCATTCAAAGGCAGACGAGAAACTGTATGTTTCAAGGCAACCAAAGTCGAATAGCAGAAAAAAATCACAGTTGGCGAGACGGTGCGTGTCTAGTGTAAAGTAAAGTTTTAACGGTGTAACAAGTTTTTATAAGCGTTTTATCCTTAGGGAAGCTGGATTAAAAAAGGTCTTGAAACTCTGATCATTTCATACGAAATAAAAAAAATAACTAAAATCTAGCAAAGAATGCCCAGCGCTGTGCCCCAGGAAGTTTATCTAGCATGCTTTGGTATCTATTTATACAAAAACGCCGCAATTGCCGCCACAAGCCTACCATAGACCAAAAACAAAAAAGGAATACAAAATATCATAGCTGTCATTTATGGCTGTTAAAAGTGCACACGCTTAACTAAATCCATATGCATTCACAAATCAGATCAAGTTAGTCAGTTATGTATTTTTAGCCACAGGTTATTTATAGCCCAGTCGAAATCAATAATTGTTTACTATGTGGTTAAAATTAAATCAACCAAAGGCATTTGTGTTGCGAAATAGCTTTTGCAGGAATCAATAAACAAATAAAATACTTGATAATTTTTGCGTAAACACAACTCAAAGCCATTCAAATTCAAAATGATGCCAAAGTCAAATATTTGTGTTTAATAAAATTAACTTATTCCATAAAGCAAATATTGGGTAATTTGAAAAGATTCCGCGGATTTTTGGGTAAATTTTTGAAAATTAATTTTAATCAAATACATATTGGCCACTGTTATCTATGACCATTTTCCATTTTTGGGATAGCCTCATGATTTCATCGGTGTAGAACTTCTGGGTTTATCGGCGAAAAACTTGGCCAAGTGATTTTCATTAATAAAGTTTTGCAGAGACAGAAACAAATGGAATGGTGCATTAAAGCTTCCCAATCAAGTTCCGTTTATTTTTTCCGAGTCAGATGTTTGAGGGCTGATGGAACACAATTCGCTCTTTCTAGACGATGCCAAGCTACCAGGTTGTTCATATTTACTGCCTTCGCTATCTCTTGATGCGGGCCTTGCTCAACAATTTGCATTATTTCAGTTACTTTTCCAATGACTGGCCGAACAGAGCGGAGTGCATTTTTGTCATCGAAATTTCCGCAACGAACTTACTTAACAAACTTACCGGCATCACATAGCGTATTACATCAGGTATTTCACTAATTTTCAAATCAATATAACATTTTGCGCGCGACGAATTACAGAATTGTCTTTACTAAAGAAGTAGCCTGAAATGTCACCTTTCAAAGACACCGCGCAATTGGATTAGTGTTGCCACATGTATGGGTGATAAAAATCTGCAGAGACTTTTCATATGACCCGTTACTAGTAAACACTTTTAGACGTCTAAGTAAAAAGGTAGGTGTGTGTATACAAATTGCTCATATGCTGGAAGAACGTCATAATCCAAACACTAAATTGGTACATTCTGAGTTAAGAACGCAATAATAACTGCAAGCACTTTTCAGGTTATGTAAAAAAATACAGAACGATATATGCATTGCATAGGATTTTACGATTACATTCAATACATAAATAAGAACATATACTTGCTGCTAATGTTTTCTGTTGCTAAAGAAAAATAATTGGCTTGAAATTTGATATCCGTTATCACGGCTTTTTATAAGCTTTATTATGTTGCACCTGTGTGTAATCAAATTTTGCAATCAACATTTTCAAAAGGGAAAGAAAATACAACCACAAAAAATTTATATATTAGGTGGAACGGTGGGCGATTTTTCTTTTTTTACTTACCTTTAATAAAAGTTTGTCTTAAAAAATTTTGTTTTAAGTTACTTGTTTTGTTTTAATATGACGTTGTTCCAGCAAACCGGCTATATTTATTTATATATGTACATTCAGTTGAAAATTCCAAATTCTTAAAAAATAATCTCAAACTTACAGGGTATTAAATGTCTCAGATAACCGGGTTCGACGCTGGGTGTGACGCGTCGGTCCTTTAGCGTTTCCATATATTTGCAAATATATTCCACCATCTCGTTGCCACGCTTACGAAACGTTTGGCTATCCATGATTGCTTTCTGATAACGTTTATGAGCAGTCCAAGCTTGAGATACATACATACATACATAAGTAAGAACGCATATTAAATTGTGTTTAGAAAAAATGGTTCTCAAGTGTTTAAATTAGATTAATTTTTCGAATATTATTTTTTCTCACGAAGTTTGGATTTTTATTTTTGGAATAATTTTAAATCCTGAAAATAGAGGCTGCGTTTTTATGATTGATTTAAATACTTAGTGATATAAAAAATAACATAATAAAATATCGATTATTCTTGATCGGAAAGATACAATTCATAAAAGAACGGTTAAAGTTGATCGGAAAAATAGAAATCCAATTTTAACGGGTTTATTATAAAGGTCATAACCGTTACGGCCCACAGTGGTCGGGGAGGCCATGTTTTATGCGAAAAAACAGAAAGACTGTTACGATTTTAATAAAACTGTACGACCATAGCATTACTCTCTTGCTGAATTCGAATATGCCATACAAGTTTTAGTTTAACAGTTGACAGCCCTGAAATCAAATGACACGCTGATCACGAATTATATGTCAAATCTTCAACATCTTCCTCAACTTCTGTCTTCTGGTTCGACTCCTATGTCATTGCGGGCTTTAACAATTGCACAAAATACACCACACAAATATTTGCGCAAATAAGATTTTCCGAATTCTTATTCGATTCGTAATTGTACTAATTGGTATTTGCGCAAATATTTGGGTGGAGTATTTTGTGCATATCGACTCTGCCGGGCGTATCTTTTCAACCACACACCCAACCGCATCCACGACATCATTTTCATAATCTTGTTCTATATCGGAATCTTTTTCCAAAGCTTCAAGTATTTCCTCTTCATTATTACAAAGTCAAAAAAGTCTCGTCAGTGGCGGATCCAGCGGGGGCGTTTCAGGGGTTAAACTACGTGCCATTCAGTGGCGGACGCACGGGGGGTGTTTTAATATGGCGCATATGTACATATGTATAGTATGGCGTCTATGTATTAAAACAACCCCCGTGCGTCCGCCACTGAATGACACGTAGTTTAACCCCCAAAACGCCCCCGCTGGATCCGCCACTGGTATTCGTAATCGGAATGCAATCTCAACCATAGTCGATATAGGAAACCCGACAGCTACTAAGGCAAAGAAATTGAAACGTACGTTGGAGAAAGTTGGACTAACAAGAAATATATGTAAATGTGGATCCTGTTTATTTCCCCTCTGAAAGAATTTTAAAAATTCTAGACAAGTTTCTTATGTTTGAAATGCAACCGTGGACACTAACTGGCAGGGAAACTTGCAAGTTCCTACAAATTTGCGTTCTTGCAGAAATTTGCAAGTTTCTCTACTTGTTTAATCAAATTATCGTCGACAAAAATCCAACCATGTGCTACAATCATATGTTTTTCCTAATTGCAATTTCTTGCTGGCAAAATTTTTTCCAGATTGAATGTGCAACTTCTCTCCAAGAACTAGTATTTCTACTTGTGAATTATTTAAATAAAACATGTGAAATTTAGTTGAAACAGTTTAAGCCGTTTTTTGGCCAATTTAGCCGGTTGGTCCAAAAAGTTCTGGCAACACTGATCATGAGTTTCATTTTCCCCGAACCGGTTCACTTTAAACTTTTTGTTTCCATGTATGTATTTACTATGGGCGAAATTCAGGATAAGGCAGATTATGTAAATTACATGTGAAGTCAGCATTTTATAATTATGGAAAATACTAATCAGTTTTGAGTTCGTTGGACATTTCTGAATAAGAATAGCTTTATTTTGACTAATTTATCAGAATAGTTTCTGTTTGTCTGTCACTATTTATAGAACTTTCAGAACTTTATCAGAACTTTCAAATATACCTTATTCGCGAAAAACATGGCTTCTCTGACCATTTTGACCTGGTTTTTATGATGTAAGTAGAGAAATTAAAAGCGTTGGATTTTTTTTTTTTAATTTAAACACCATGCGAATTCCGCGGCCTCCTCGACGTCTTGTTAATAGTCAGAAATTCAAATCGAAAAAATTTTAATAGATTTAGTACTTTTTATTTGCAAAACTGGCACAGAAGTTGTGATTGTTTCAGGCTTTTTTTTTTGTTTATAATAACTTTGTTTTAACTGTTTTCGCTGTTTAACCTATTTAATATATATATTTTTATTTGTTAGCAAGAATCTGCCACACCTATGTTTAAAATATGTATCTACGTCGACAACAATTTTTTCTAAGAATTCTTTTGCCAAATAATTATATTTATATTTCGTTGAAAATCGCTTATTTACTCTCTTCATTACATTTTGTTTTAACTATTTAGTGCGAAGTGACTTGTGTCTTAAATAAAACGCAAATATTTTTAATGTTGTTTACATACTAACTTTTATGTAGTAGGTATGACATTTTTGGCAAAAGGTTTTTAAATTTTACCTGTTGAATATTTGCTGCTCGACAGACTTTCGAGTTATATGTATGTTTATGTCTGTTTGTTTGTATGTATGTATATACACAGAGAAGTGAATAAGAAAGATGATATATGTAGCGTAAAAACCTGTTTAAGGCAAAGTATTGTTCTTGGTTATTTGTATATATACTTAGGATATTAACGATGCGATTTAGCGATTTCACGCCAATTGAGAGAGGCCCTGTTTTTTATACTTTTTTTGTCCAGCCGTTTTCGAGCTATCGATTTTCGAGAAAAAAATGTCCTAATGGCGCCGATTCACACCATTTTATTTTTGGAAATTTCTAATTTTTCAATTTTCAAAGCAATTGGAAAAAAATTTCAAACCGTATTTCTGTAAAATTTTTAATATAAAATGTTGATTTCCCGAATTCCAAAAAATAAGCACTGATCGATTTTTTTGGATATTTTTTCTAAAAAACTGTCAGTCCTTTCCGCAACTTTTAAGCCAAATCCGATAATGGGATCTATTTGTTTTCGAATTTTTAAGTTAATGAAAAATTATCACATTTTGTCCAACTCAACGCCAGGAACTCTGACTGCGTCAAATTAACCCCATTAATCAAAAAGATAAAAATACTTCATTGCAGAGGAAGAAATTCTCTACATAATTTCTGTGGTAAGCATTACTTTCGCGTAATCGATATTTTTTATCAATTAATCATACTAACACCACCTTTTTGGTAAAGACTTCAGGCAAAAGGATTATACTTTTTCTATGCCCATAACTGTGCGCTTGAATTCGCTTCTTCACCAATTTTAATGCGGTTCTTGTCAGTTTTTAAGTTAATTTTAAAGTTGAAAATAACCGTCTTCTTGCATGGCGCAATAAACAGCTTTCTCGCTTTATTTTCTATCACTCGGCTATCTAAAATACAGAATTCTAAAAGAAAATATTCAAATAAGATAGTGTCAAATCAATCAAAAATCTTTCTTCTCGCTCTTATTACTTCACCTGGTATAATTTTACCATGCACCCAGAAAAAATACAGCTAAACATATTTGGTAAGTATAACCAAATCATGTGTTGGGATAAATATATTTAGCAGATTTTTTTTCTACACTCAGAAAAAAGTCAGCCAAATATATTCCTCTCAACACATGATTTGGTAACTATAAACAAATAATGTAACTATAACCAAATCATGTGTTGATAAAAACATATTTAGTTGACGTAACTAAACTCTTTTCTCAGTGTAGGTGTGGTTATCTTGAATGTAATTTTCGCATTGCAAATGCCGTTTTTATTTTCAATGTATGAAAAAAAAACGTTCGTAAAAAAATCCAATGCAAATATGTGCTCAAGTTTAGAATTTCTTGATGAGTTTTCTACAACGTCTACCACTTGATGAAAATACAGCGGCTCCGCTGGCTTGGCCATGTCGTTCGAATGGACACCGACGCTCCAGCTCTGAAAGTATTCAACTCGGAACCCGCTGGTGGTAGCAGAGGAAGAGGGATGCCCCCACTGCGATGGAAAGATCAGGTGGAGAAGGACTTGGCTTCACTTGGCGTTTCCAATTGGCGTCAGTTGGCACAGAGGAGAAACGACTGGCGTTCTTTGCTGAACTCGGCCAAAATCGCTTAGGCGGTTACAGCGCCAAAAAAGAAGAAGAAGAAACTACTTCATGCAAAATATGCCTTGCAAATAGATATTAATGTTGCATACTGTACGTGCGAAAGCATGCTAATCAATTGCTTAATTTATTTTAAGGCAATTACAGCTTTGTATGTAAACAGTAAATTCAATTATCCGAATATACAGTGACTAAAACAAGTGTTCACATGTTGATAATTTCTTTTGTAATTTTTGACCGACTTCACAAAGAGGAGAAGGTTATCAATTCGTCGGAATATTTTTTAACCGACTTCACAAAAAGGAGAAGGTTATCCGTTCGTCGGAATATATATATACATATATATATATATATATATATTTTATGTATGTTACCGCATAACTTTGGACCACGTTAACCGATTTCTATAATTCTTTTTTTTTTTTAAGGAAAGGTGTTACCTCTCAGGTGATCCCATACTAATTTAGATTCAATCCGATCATTGGATCACGATGAAATTAACGATAATCTTAAATTTGTATATGAGAATAAAAGTCAGTTTTGTTTTTCGCTTAAAAATTACTTGTTTTATAAAAATATTGTTTAAGCTTTAACTAAAACTTTATAAATCAATGTTTAAAACTTTAGAAATAATCAACAAATTTTCATAAAAATTTGGAACTTTTTTACTTGAATTTTTAAAATTTTTTTTTTGTATACACAGTTTATTTAGAGATTTTGATTTAACATAAAAATATCGGTGATTATTGGTGAAAACACGTTTTAAAACATTTTTATGAGTATTTTTACATAGATTTTGTGTTTTAAGTGGCTGACAATAATTTTGGTTATCGTTGTTGTAACAGCATGAAAATTCCCCAAAGAGTTTTCAGGGAATCAGCGGGAATGACTATCGATCTGGATCGCTTACCACTTATCATTTGTTTTCCAGCGTATAAGCATGGCGTAGAGACCCGCTTAAAAAAACTACTTTTTTCATTCCCTCGTTCTTGGGGGATCTTGTGTCATTCGT